CGTAATTTCAATTATATACTAATAATATATATCAATTTTTAATCATTGACTCGTATTTATAATAAATCGTACAATTATTTTTTATATCTTCAATTATATAAAACAATAACATAAAAAATAGTTAAAAGATAGACATTAAAATAATCCGTTAATAATTAGTATCTCATAGATACTTTCACATCTATACGTGAATCCAAATGAGTTAACAAACTACAGTTGAATTCAAATGAGTTAACTCTAAAAATTTCCTAAACCTATTTTAAATATTAATCTATTTTTCCAAACCTAAAATATAAGACAACTTCTCGTCAAATTTCAATTTTAAAACTTTTTTATTATTTCATATTTATATTTTTTTACAACATACGATGTATGATACCTTCTCATTAAATTTCAATTTTAAAATCTTTTTATTATATCATATTTACAAATTTTATAAATTTAAAATATATGACATTTTCCTATCAAAATTTAATAAACTACGTAAATATGTTCATGCAAATTCAACATGAAAATTAAACTAACATAGTTGAAGCAATGTAATAAAAAATTAAATATATTTTTGAAATTAAAAATTTTTAAATATTTAATCAGAAAGTTTTACGTAATATTTTCGGATACTTTACATTTTATATATTTATTATAATAAATGAAAAGACAAAATTTTGTTTAAATATAGTACGTAATTATATTTTTTCCAATCAATTAAATATATTTAAAAATAGTGTGATTATTGTCCAACTTCTTTAAATAATAAAATAGGAAGCTGCTATAGTACTCTAATTTATTTTAGTACGATTTTTATTTCAACTTCTTTAAAGAATTAAAAAAAATTAGAAAAATCAATTAAGTCAACATTTTGATGACTTTGCAGTCAACATTTTGCAAGGAAAATAAGCATTGGTATGCCTGGAGATGAAATAGGTCCCCTCCTTCTTGTGTGCTCTCTACTACTTGCTCCTTTATTAATTCAATCAATCCACCACTGTGGCAAGAATCTGATACAATTGTGATCTTACAATTCCTGAGTACTTTTGCTACAAACTCTCTAAAATCTTCATCTGTTTGGCAGCCAACATAACAATTAGAATCAACAATGTTACTATAATTTTGCAGTTTTTTAAGCACTTATAATATACCCAGTCAAAAGATACAACAGTGTTTAATAATTTGAAGAAAAGTGTATATTTTATATTATAAGTTTCTATTTCCAAGCGTTATGTTGTAAATTGTAATCTTATTATAAACTTTAAAAAATTCATAGAAAGCATCGATTTTTGTTTTGTTTTGGTTCAACAAAGCATTCAAGTCAAGAGACAATAAAATTTGAGGCAGGATTATGATTAATTAATTAGATCGAAATAAAATCACTATATTCCTTCAATTTTTACATGTCAAGTGTTTATTGCATTGCTTATTATAGTCTTAATACTATCAAGACCATTGTATTCAAAATAATCACTTTTAAAAGAAGTACCTTTGCTCTCAGAAGTTGGTTGTAATTGTTCAATTATATCTTCTGCAGTGTTTATATTTTGGAACTTAGGGAAATACACATTATCATATAGAGTTTGTTTGTTACAATTTTTTTGTTATAAAAAAAGTATTTTTTTTTAAATAATCACTTTTTAAATGTAAAAAAGAATATTGACCACTTCTGTATATATTCAATTTCAGCGAATAACAGTTTCTACTGAGCATGTCCTTTTTATCATCAGTTTCATACGCATCGATACATATTCGACCTGCAAACGCGTGAGAATAAAATCAGTTTCATATATAAAATATGCGATTCGAAATACATACATACTCACGCGATTAACACACAACTCATGCTCAGATTTATCAAACAAAATTTACAGCTAATACAATAACAAAATCAATCATAATTCCAATGTAGTGTCTTTCTGCTTTTCATGTAGAATCGTGAGACGCTTGAAAATCCAACAATAGATTCCTTCTAACTCTTTTTAGTATCCATCGAAACCATGTGAACTGTAGTAACCTGCCGATTAAAAAAAACAGAGTGGTGAAAACAAAAAAGGGAGATATGTCATAGAACTAGAGAGGAAATCTAAACCTAAAGTTATAATTAGAAGTCTTATTCTTCTCTTTTTCATAACCCTTCTTGACGGTATCGCTCTCAAGCTTCAACTAAGCAAATCGCAACTCCAAAGAATTATATCACTCACATAAAAATAAAATCAAAACTAATAATCACACAGAAAACTCATAGGGATTCATCATCTCCAGCTTCTTCCCACCTTAATTCTTTTTCTTTTTCCAACTCCTCAACCATGTGTTGAATATTAGGATAAATGAAATCAAATAGATTGTGGATATTAACAACAACATGAATATAACAGAATCAATAATTGAATGATAAAACTAAAAAGAATGATTTAACAGAAGCACTAGAATAAGACTCAAATATGACATAACTTCAAAAGAAAAAAAATAGAGAACTGGCAAACGAATGAGGTTTGGCATACATGAGTAGTGAGTACTTACAGTGTAGATGAAGAATAGTTTAGGGTTTGAAGAGATTTTTATTCGTAAGTTTATGGATGCATTTGAAAGATGTTTGGTGCATTTGAAAGCTAGCAAAAGTTGAAAAGATGGGATAACTGAAAGTTGTGTATTCTCATTATTGTATGTCTCTTTTGTTTTGTATTGATTCAAAAATTAAATTAAATGGTTCAGGTGTTTTATAGTTATCAGTGTGGAGGGATAACTCACGTTTCAATATCCTAAAAATCTTTTGTAGTGCTGATTAAATTATTAAATAATAAAAAATGTCACAAAAATTATAGGTATGCCACATCAGCATCGTTAAATATCAAATCAATATAAAGAGAATAGTGGCTAATAAAACTGTTTTACCCCTATAATTAGATAAAATTAAATTTGAAATCAGAAAGATTAGAGCGTAATTACCAAATATTTTTGTTTTTATATATTTATAATAGATGATATAAGAAATTAATAATATTAACCGTAAAAAGTATCTTGTACATTACCTTTAAGGGTGTATACGAAGGTGCATTTTCTTTGCTTATTGTATCAAAGACTGCATAATAGCCTTTTGTTCATTTATAAACTTGTGACGATCCTTCTAAATTCTTGGCAGTCAACACACCACCAAACATTATTGGAACTCATCTTATCAACACACTGGCGAGTCCTTTAGATCCTCATTATTGTCATCGCTCGTCATCGATCATGACATCATTGTTGTCACCGTTAATAATAGAGTGGATTAAATTTGAGACTCATATCAGTTTTATTGAGCTCCACAATAGTCTTTATTGTAGTTGTTAAAAAAGGTACTACAAGATAATCATGTGTTTGTACGACTGCTTATGTGTTTAACATATTAAACAACATGTAGGGCTTGTCTATCCAAATTAGTGAGAAACTCAATATGTGTTTATTATGGAGAATTGGAGATCAGTCCCTTCAATTATGAACAGAGGTATTTATAGGTGATCTCTTGGGTGGACTAGAAAGTCAATAGATGGTTTCTACTATTTCATGATCACGAACATGAGAATAGTAGAAGAGTTTGTTGGAAATTCAAGAAAATTTATGACGAATTTCTATCAATTTTGATGAATAAAATTGTTATCACCACACAATAACGATGTCAAATATGAAAGAAAAAAAAGACAATTATTTTCTGCAGAGTTTTTCTCTATTCAAAATTTGTGGAAAACTTTGAATATTTTGTTATTCACTTGCAACTGCAAATTCCGTAAATACAACTTGATTGATTTGATTACAAAAATATGGGTTACTCTCTCTATTTATAGATTTAGGTTAGCTTGCTCCCTAAGTCAAAGCCCAAGACTATGAAAGTCCAAAATACATATTTAAGAACTAAATTAAATCTATTTATTTTAGATTTATATCAAATCTAAAACCAAATTAAATCTGTGCGTAGCCTGCTTCGATCCACAAATTTTTCGATTAGACAATGGTTCATTGAGCAATCTGCTTCGACAACCTCTAACCCTTCGACACACATAGTTTCGATACTATGAATTACAATTTAATAGGGTTATTCTTCCTTTAAATGATATTACTTGGATGTCTCATAGTTCACGTTTTATAAGTGAATGGATCATAGTAATATGAAAAGGAGAAGGGTGTCTTTGAAGGGATTATAGTTTGTGCAAGAAAATAATGGAGAAAAGCAACATGTGTATTGATACCAAAGAAAGGAGCGGAAAGAGATGAAAAATTAACACCATAAACATGTATCAATGTCTTTTGGAACATGTTTAATCATGTCAAATTTTCTTGTATTATATTAGACCCTTTCCATTCATATTATCACTTCATCTTTGTTTTTTTTAGTTTTCTATTTTCAATAATACTAAATGTTTTCAATTTGCTCTATTATTAGGGATGAAAATAGATTAGATTTTAAAAAGTATGAGTCTGACATACGATAAATTTAAAAAATCTGAGTCTGACTTATATTTTATTATAGACTCTCTTTTTTGTCTTGTCTAATATTTTTAAAAGTCTAGTATGTCTTAAAAATCTATTTAAAAATATATTTTTCAATAAATTTTTCAATTAATTCATATTACTTAAAAAAAAATTATAGGCCGATACATGCTTATATAGGCATACATATGTCAAATATAACAAAATTATAACTGCATTCTTAAGAGTAAAGATAACATACCACCAACCACATGGTGCACACTAACACTTTCACAATAGTATGGAGTTAATGAGCCAATTGCATACCTAACATGACTGTAAACTTACAACTACAATTTGCACCAAATAAATAAATTACAAATACAACTTTCAAATCTCATCCCTACCATAAATATCAAAACAAAAAGCCACTACACAAAATCATCTATATTATTCTAAACAAGCAGAAGCGATCAGTGTTGCCAAAATAAGGATCTGGATTCTCTGCCGTGGAAAAGACGGTTATGATTGAAAACTGCATGACAAAGTTACTGCACCAAATCCTTTCACAGTGCCACGAGCATGGCCAACAGAGTAATGGCAAAAGACAACAATAAACTAGCTGGCTTGCAATTTAGAATGCTAAAGCTAGATGCTAATGCTGCTTCACGGGCTGGAGCTAGTTCAGCCACAGGTAACTGACATGATGCTCCGAATGTCATGTTAGCCTGTGCAGATCAAGAATGAAAATTCAGTATATGATAGTAACAAACAAACATAGAAGAGAATGAAAGTAATGTCGACAAACCTTGCAGGAGGCTATGTTTCCACATCCACATACTAGATGACCATTCGCTACATCAACCGCTTCTGGAGCTCCTCCTCCATCGCTCCTCTGAAACATCAATGTGATAAAAAAAGTATATTATGTTTGCTAGCATATCATCACAGATTCACAAATCCGTGTTATCAATCGCAAATTCTGCTACGCTAATTGCTGTAGCGCGTTGTATCCCCTGTTCGACAATAATTTGTACTAAATAGTATATCGCAGAATAATAGTAATTTGTTCAAATTCTGTTATACTATAGCGGCACTATTGGAAAAATCAATTCAAAAGAAAATTGATAGTATAATACCTTGTAGAAATCAACAGCAATGAAATTAGCCCAACGTTTTCCGGCTGCTTGATAGCAAGTGTTAACCATGTTAAGCAAAGGAGCTGAATTGTCCTTACAAGATTGAGTTCCATCTGGAAGATCTCGAAAGTAGTTCACTAGGACTAATGATCTTGATGTTGTGTTCATAGACGGTGATTCTGCGCGATTTGGACACGAACCGGCCTTCATTCCTCCATTTGAATTTCCATCTGCAAAAGTAAAAATTGAACTTCCAAATCACATTCACAATCTTGTTACCGATACATAGTTAACTTAAATTTTAGGAATTTGTAATTACTTACATTGGTTTTCTACTAAATATCGCCATTCATAGGCTATCCCTTCGGAAGCTTCCTTAGCTGCTTTTGAAGTGAAGACTACTAAACGCTGGTTCTTCTGGACCATATCATCTACTGTTGGCCAGTCTCCGCCGTTTTTTGGCATTCGAGATACCGGAAACCAGTATTTTCTCAGACCAGCAGCATTAAAGACCTTTGTTAGGCCTTTTGGTGAAGTAACGTAATCTTCGATAATGATAGTAACAATCTCCGATGGATTTGCTTCGAGAAATGCTTGAATCTCTTTGAGAACATTGATGGCAGGTTGCTGCATTGTTCACAATTTGAATAACTATTAATTATTGAAGTAAAAGCATAGTAGCCAAGATTCTACTTTGTACTTAATTTGGAATAGCAAGAAATAAACAATTTGTTACTTACAAAAGCTGTATAGTTGAAGCACTGGCCACCAAATGAGTGACACAGCCAAACATCATTCTCAAAGTCATACAAGTCAAGCATCAATCCTCTTACACCATTCTGAAAGAAAAATGTGAAATGTTAGCTTAAGGTGCCAAAATCTGAAATCAATTATGTCCTTAAGACGTTGTAGTAGCTTAAACTTCTGTTAACAATTGTAGTCAAGTTATGCAATGAAGTTATTTTCAGTTTATTTCAATAGACTCTCAAAGACGGCTTATGAAAAAAACTTATAGTTTACGTGAAAATAATTTGACTTTATTTTATCACTTGTTATAGAAACCGCTTATACATATGCACTTATATGATAAGCGTTTATGCTATAAGTGCTTAACTAAATTGTTTATCCAAACAGGATAAGTTACAAGTCTTCACTTCTATTTTCTGGTTGAACTTTGATCCATTAACCTCTTTCTTAGGCTAGATTTGATTACTTCAAAACCATTTTCCAAAAACAGATTATACTATTTATTTAATAGGGCTGCTTCAACAAGTTCCAACATGTCATTAAAAAACTACAAACATTCTCCAACAAGAAAGTAGTACCATTTCATACCATGATACTAAGTCTTTAACTAATCCAACAAAAAAGTCATTAATTAATTAATTGAACTATTCAACCATGTAAAAAAATCCTAGTTGTTTTTAATCAATTTAAAACTTTCCTATAATCTCCCATAACCAAACATGCAGCACATTCATAGACTAAACTATCATATATAGTTAAGTATTATTATTATCCTCCAACAACCCTACAACCACTTTAAAGCCTTTTCAATTGAATAATTGAAAGTGGGGACATTATGTTCTGATGCAATATTCAGAAAGCACAAGCTTAGCTTTCTCTTTAAGTAGGCTGAGACGTAACCTATTGAGATACACAACAAATGATCATATAACTAATTTATGCTTAAAGTTTCAATGAGGTTTCCTTGTCTTTTCACTTTCATTTTCCTCAAATTTAAAACTTTCCTAGAAACAACCAAACACATTAATTAAATGCACTAAGGTAAGCCAAATTTTCATCCAATAAGAATCTACCATTCTCACATGTCAACTCATTTCTATAATTGATTCTTAAAATTAACTATATGAATGTATGTTTGGTTTCACGTTTGGAACGTATTAAATAAACTCTAATATATTTGATTCTCTCAAGTAGAATTGATTATGCTTTTCAGACTTGATTCTACTTTCAATAGTCTGACATATATTTGATTCTCTCAAATAGAATTGATTATGCTTTCCATAATTGATTCTATTTCCGGAGTCTGGCATCAAGTGACTCTTCCCAATGACAGTCGCGGGGTGTCGAACTGTGATCTTCTCTACTAAATCCAGTATCAATCACCACTGGACCAACTAAGATTGGTTACTTAAAATCAATTTTTTTCCTAGCATAACCAAACATACGAAACATATGCAAAGTGGCAAAACAAATGACGAGTGTCTGTGTATATCTATTAAACGCTTAATAATTTTGGGATTTAAGTCTCATTAATCACAAATCATCATATCTTTAAAAATATTGAACTTTAACCATAATTCCTTCTAAAATGAAGAGAACAAACATTACATTAAGCTGAGAGGTAATGGTGTCTTGCTGATTTGTGGGAGCAAGAATCACAGAACCAGTTGCTGATTTTTGACCTAAAAGTGCAAATGAATTATGTGTTGTTAACCATGAATACCGATTAAATGGTAACCCTTTCACCTATATAAAAAAAAAACTTCATAATGTCAGATACCAAAACATTCATAGCAAAAGAAAAGTCCAAAATGAAGAAGAAAAAAAGGTGAAACCTTTGAAGTAGGGTTAATTGGTTGTGTACGAGTGCACCTAGGTCGCAAGTTTCCATTAGCCACACAGGTTTCACAGTGTAAACCAGAATCACAGTTTTTATCTGCTAAGCATATTTGTCCTTCCTGTTGAAGAAACAAAAAGGGTTATTGAAAATCACAACAAAAAAAAAACACAAGAGGTGTTAAAAGTGTACCTTGAGAGCAAGTGCAGAGTGGAGAAAAAGTAAAATGACAAAAAGCGTTGTTGTTGTTAGGATTGAATTCTGCAAAAGAGAAAAAAAAAACAGGTAAAATAATTGAAGTTTTGTTATAGGAGATAGAAAAACAGAGAAATTAGATACCTTCATGATTGGTGGAAGGAAGCGAAAGAGAGAGAAAATGTGGTACTCTTGTATGGAAAGTAAAGCTAGTTATGGAAAATGTGTCAGTTATAATAAATGGAAGATGAATGAGAAATTTGAATTTGTATAAATGTGGAAGCTTATGAGGAAGACGTGTTAGCATACGTGAAAACATTGAAGTTTTATTAAGGTGGACCGGGTTATATATTATAACAAAAATGCAACATGGAGTTAATATTGTTCCACATTTTGACATATTCATTCAAGTTAAGAAAAAAATCCAACATGACTTCATGCTTTAAGAATTTCTTATCCCACCCCATATGAAAAAAAGACACTTTTTATGTAATGCTGAAATTGTCTTTTGGAAAATCGAAAATATATTTTCGATTCGTATCATATTTTGCATAAAACAAATCAAATGTGATTTCACCGTTCGAAATGTAAAAAATGATATCAGAGGTATACTTTCGATTCTAAATCGGAATTCTGTTTCCGGTTCTATTAGCATGAAGATTGAATTTGTTGTCACCTTGACATTTTATATATAACAGGAAGTATAATTCCGGTTTTATTGACGATGCAGGATACTTAAAACAGTAATCAGTATGGTCATGTTTGATCACCACCATTTCTTCTTTCTTTCCTTAAAACCTTTCAAAAACCCTCATCATTCTCAATCGATTTTCCACTCCAAATCATCATTTTTGTGGTTCATCATATCAGAAAGAGCTCAAGGAAATAGAATTTCTGGTAGAGTTTATTCATTTCAACCCTCATTCCCTACATTAATTATAAGAACAAGATTTGGTTCTGCAATATTATCTTTGAGCTTTGATGATAACAAATGAATATGATTGTGTGAACAATTTTATTGTACTAATAGATGGTGTGACCAAGATATTAGAACAGAATTAGTTTCGCTTATAATGGATGGCGTGGCCAAGACATTAAAAGAGAATTAGTTCCGCTTTTGTGCTACACAAGTTATGTTGAATAGTAGCAAGACACTCCAGAAGGCTCTGAAGTGTAAGCCCTGATATTTGTCTAAAGAAACCAGTCAAAAGATCTGAAGACAAAAGTTGCTACTTACGTCCAGATGCTGAAGACTCAAGCTTCTAAAGACAATGTGTTATAAGGAAACAATCAGAAAATCTGAAGACAAAAGTTGTCACTTAAGTCCAGATGCTGAAGACTAATGTTTCTAAAAGACAATATGTTCCAAAGAAACAAAGTTAGAAGACATGAAGACAAAGTTTCTACTGAAGTCTAGATGCTAAAAACTTAGTTTTTAAAAGACAACTTGTTTAAAAAAAGACAAAGTTAAAAGATCTGAAGACAACGTTCCTAACTGAAGTCTAGATGTTGAAGACTTTGTGTTTCTAATAACAAGATTCTAAAGACAAGGATTCTTAAAGAATTAAGTGCTAAAGATTCTAAAGACAGAAGATTTGTATATTCCAAAGATTTTAAGTTCTAAAGGTCCAAGGTTATATACAAGCTTTTCTGATTCATGGTTCACTACAACAGGTTCTCATGGCCAAGTACTGAAGACTCCGAAGACGCAGTTCTGAAGACTTGAAGTTCTAAAGACCTTATGCTATGTTCCTGCTTCTAACCTTATGCTAGCAGAAGCCTCTGAAGTGCAGAAGGAAAGAATATAACGGTAACATGGTACAATAGTACACAGTACAAAAAAGTTTTATTCCACTACCTCTCCACTAACTTAAAGTGTGGAAGAGATGAGGATGTAGCAGTACTATTAGTAATGACTCTTTTTCAAAAAGTCAACGACTCTATTTTTCTTGACTATATAAGAAAAGAATCATATGTTTAAACATGTTGGTTAGCTGGTTGCTTGACACATGATGTTGAATGAGTTAAATGTTGGTGTTCAATGTTACAAATGAAAGTTGTCATTATTGAAACACAACCAAAAAGCTATCAACCACTATAATGACAACAAGAACAACTGTTATCAAAATGATTCTTCAATCATATTGATACTGATTACAATAAAATCATAGATTCACAATGTGCTTAATTTCATATACTACACAAAGCTTGCTAAGCCGCAGAAGATAAAGAAGATGATCATGAAAGCTCCAGTTATAAATCTACAACACAAATGTTATGCTCTAGAGTGATCATAGAAGAAAATGGAACAAGGGTTGTTGTCCAGAATATTCTAAAGTGAATCAAGATGAAGAAGTTCTTCTCTCTACTACATCAAGATCAACAAAGCTTTCAGAAGCTTATGAAGAAGAAGACTTCAGCAATTCAAGTGCTTTGGATTGTTGTCCATGAAGAAGCTACTTGAATAAAAGAAGACCATACATTGAAGCTACAATAAAATTTAATATCTTTTAGTGTGTATTAGGTTCTTCTGATGTACTCAATTCCGTTTACATTCAGCTTATGTAGAAGCATTATTATTGTAAACAAATGTAACTCAAACAGTTGTTTGATGGCTCCTTGAGAGACTCGGTTGAGTCAGGATTCTCAAGAATATTTTTGGTTGCGACCATAGTAGATAAAATCCTGGTAGTGGATTATGTTGAGTCAGTGGTAGTCATATCTCAAAGGAGACTGAGTAAATGTCAGCTTTGTGAGATCACTGATGGATATCATTGGAAGGAAATCCTGGTAGAAGATTATGGTGAATCAGATTCTATTGGGTCAATGAACATTATATCCAGTTTGGATCTTTGAACGCGTCATTGGATGTTAGGCACCGTCAGTTTCTCGTGCAATTGTAATCAAATTGGTTATAGTGGATTAAGTCCTTGAGTTCAAGGCTAGATAACCTCGGAAGGGTGGACTGGACTAGCTTGGGGGTTTCTCAAGTGAACCAGGATACATCGCGTGTTCTTTACTTTTGCTTATGCTTTAGAGTTTATGTTTTCTTAACTTAATTAGAAGCATTACTTAGAAGTAACATTCAGAAGCATTATTCAATGAATAATTCTTAGAAGCGAATGTTATTCAAGAAAGGAAAACACAATCCAACCCCCCCACCCTTTCTTGCGTTTTCTTCACACCTTTAATTGGTATCAAAGACTGGTTCTGTTATTGATGGATATTAAACGCCTAACAGTGTCAGATAAAGATCCAGATGTTATGTGAAGAAATACTCTAAGGTGATAGTTATTCAATTTTAAACCATTGTCTAAAACCAGAAAATTGAAGAACAAGCTAACAAGGAAGAATCATCAGATAAGAAGTTATATCTGTTGAATGCTTTTAATTAAGTTCCTTGAGAAGTATGAGATGTTTTCAAGAAACGGATTAGTCCACCCTTGACTTTCTCATAAGATCTCATTAGGAATCTTTTCAAAAGAAGAAAGGCAGTTGTCTTATGATACAAAAGAACCCCATGATAAAACCTTCTATTAAAGCAGATAGAAGATCTTATGCAGAAGATCTAATCATTGGTTCTGTTGAAAGAGGCTTTGCAGAAGACCAAACATTGCTTAGGAAAGAAGTTTCATTGATTCATCTGAAGTATGATCAAAGAATAACTCTAAACAAGTTAGCTCAGGATTGCAAGAACAAGATCGCCAGTCAAAATTGTCAAATTTTGATGATATTTGTATTAGAACAAATGTTGCAATTTGTCCAATAAATCAAAAATTCAGAAGACGATAGGCAATGACAGTTAACTTTCTATCGAGCACATAGCTTCTCAGAAGTTCATGAAATATTGACCTTCTGAAAAATAAGCTTATGTTCAAAGAAAGCTTAACAAACAAATGGATGGTTCTGATAATAAAAGATCATAATATTTGTGCTCTGAGGATTCTCTCAAGAAGTCAGACGGATGATTCTAAATAAAAGAATGAAGAAACCATCTAAATAGAAAACTAATTCTAGTTCTCATATTAGAATATTAGAGTTCAGAAGAAAGTTGCTCTTCTCAAATCAGAAAACTAAGAATAAGAGAAATCAATATGAAAATAATTCAGAACGTCTGGAAGACCACTCTGAAGAAAGCATAAGAAGAAATAAGTTAATCAGAAGCAGTATCTAAGAGAAAGCTAAAGTTAAAGACAAATGGAAGATCTTCAAGAACACGACAAAGCCCGATCAGAAGATATATTTGAGACAAGCTAAAGTAAAAATCAAAATGTAAAAGCACTCAGATAAAATAATCACGGTAAAAATTTCGTAATCTCAAAGGTATGCTTTTCTTTTATCTATAACTTATTAGAACTTCTGATAAAAATATTTCTACAAGTTAGAAGAATTTTTGTTTATATTAGTACAACTCCAAGTTGTGAATTTTCTGGATAAATGAAAATCTCATGATCTGGAACTTTTTCCAAGAGAAGAATCTTTTAATCAATTCTCTAGATAATATGAACATGTAAGTTCTCTTGAAAACGAGTCAAATTTTTTACGTATGATATATGTGATGATAGCTCCTCATTTAAGCAACTATGATTAATATTTTTCTATATCAGTTTTCCATCCACTATCTTTAAATGTTAATTCACTCAAAGTCCTTATTTAGGACCTGTGTGGTACTTTGTTTTTATAAATACTGATTCACTTCATTCCTCTTCTTTGAAATTCTTGTCCTGCGTTAGTGTTCTAGTCATTTTTACAGATTAGTACAACCTCTTCCACTCACTTGAATATATATATATATATATATATATATATATATATATATATATATATATATATATATATATATATATATATATATATATATATATATATATATATATATATATATATATATATATATATATATATATATATATATATATATATATATATATAGTGATTTATCATATTCATCTTTTACTCTTATAGACTAATTCCTATCAAGAATTTTCCTCTCAGGTGCTCATAATGCCTCAACCAACCTTTCTTGGAAATGAAGATCTTATTGAAATTATCATCAAAAAACAAATTGAAATTTCTTCTCTTGAAAGTAACATTGCTTCCAACATCTCAGATGTGTTCTATTCTCAGCAATGGACAAGATACTTCACTAT